GTGAATACACTTAAGTTCAGAGAGGCCAAATCTCACAGATGAATAGCTATGGGCATAGCCATTCATTCATTCATTTATTCATTCATATATTTAACAATTGGTTTAACTGCATTAGAAAAAGTTCTGTGGATACAAAGATGAATAACTTGGTAACTTTCTTTAAGGATCTTATAGTCTGACAGGGACATAAAGAATGTTATTATATAACAAAGTGATTGGTGCATACATATGCTTCAAGCGTTCTGGGAGCATAGAAAAGAGTACGTCGTCATCAAATTAGATTGGAGGCGGAACTAAGGGAACATGCCAAGACTCAGGGAAGTTTTCTTGGGAAACATGGGATATGAAGCAGATCCTAAAAGACCAGCAGAAAGTAACTAGGTAAACAGGGCAGGGACTGGAAAGAAAGGTATTCCAGGAATAACTTTAAAAATAAAGGCAAAAAATAGTAGCATGTATGTGAGAGAGAGGAAAAAAAGACTGGACAGTATAATGTGAGCAGAAGTGACAGCTGAGACCGAAGAGGCCATCAGGCCAGACCATGGAGGAGTTCATGTGTCACTTTTAGGAATTTCATTCCTGATGTTAGGAGTGATGTAGAATCCGTGACGTGCACAAAGGAGAGTGTCAGGGTCAGGTGCACACTTAGCTGGACCATCTCAGTAGGCCCGGGGAAGATGGGCTTGGGAGACGGGGAGAGTTCCGCAGGCAGGGAGGGCAGTTGGGAGGCAGCTGAGCAGTTAAGGCAGATGACCCAGGGCAAGAGTAGCGGGGACGGAGCAGAGAGTCTGTACTGTAGACACATTTGAGAAGTAGGGTAGATGGCAAAACTTTCAACTACTGCATTCAAACTGAATCTAAGGCAACGAGCCAAGGGTGATCTTAGATTCCATTTTGGTGAATGAGATTCTGCAGGTGCTATAGAGGCTTCAGGAATACGATAATGGTTTGGGAGAAGAGAGGCCATTGTAACTCTGTACTAGTTGAGGTTAAAGTGTTCGAGGGAGAATCCAATTCAGGTGGTGCCATCTTGCTGGAAGTTGCATATAAAAGTTTGAAGCATAGAGGAAAAGTGTGGGCTAAAGACATATATCTGCAAGTCATGAGTATGTAAGTAGGAGCTGGAATAATGAAAGTGGATGGCATAACACAAAGAAGATGTATAGAATGACCAGAAGAGTCCTACAAAGATGGAAACCCGGAGGATACAACACTGAGTGAGAGCGGTGGCGGGGGAGGGGCAGGGCCAGGGAAGATTACAATTCGGAGAGAGGAGGGATGATGAGAGAAAGGAGAAAAAAGAAGGAAGAAAGGAGAAAGAAGGAAGGGAGGAGGGGGGAGGAAGGAGGGAATAGGGATGGAGGAAGGAGGGAGGAGGGAGGGACGGGAGGAAGGAGGAGGAGTAAGGAAGGAAGGAAGGAAGGGGAAGGAGGGAAGGAAGGGAAGGGGGGAGGGAAGGGAGGGAGGGAGGGAGGGAGGGAGGGAGGAGGGAGGAAGGGAGGAAGGGAGGGAGGGAGGGAGGGAGGGAGGGAGGGAGGAAGGGAGGGAGGGAGGAAGGGAGGAAGGAAAGAACAATCCCTGACAGTTGGTAGTTGGCCTGGCAACCAATAGCTAGGCCATAATGATCCAATATTGACCATAAATAATTTCACAGAATATAAACATCATCAGACAAGGTCACTCTGAAATTGTGATGGAACAAGACAAAAACAAGACCACTCTTTCCAAAATCACCTAACATAAGCCTCAATCTTATTACTAGGCCTTCCTAACATCTCTCACTGCAACATCCCCAGAGTGCCCTGTGGTTTTCAGTCTCCCTTGATGCAGCGACTTAATAAATCTAACTTCGATTACAGGTGTGTTCCTGGAGGTCTTTGGGCACCAGGCTTTAACATCTGTACAGAAGCCAAAAAGTTAGACAGTTTAATGTAGGAAGACATCAAAATACCAGGTGCAACAAAACGGCCAATGATATCCATTGAATTTGGCAAACATGATCTTCCTGGTGACCTTGAAGAGTAGAGCAGTTTTATAGGGTATGGGATGGATGAGGTGGAGTGCTCTCACTAGGTTGATACAGATGATTATATTCCTACCTCTGTATTCAGTGACGTTAAGTTGGAGCTGACATCAGCCACGGGGGAGTATTTACATTATGGAAATGGGCAATTGCTGTAAATCAAGGATTTATTTTTTCCTTCAGAAAGCTGGCTGTTAAGCTTTTACTATCACATCAAAGGTAGAAGAGAGATTACAGTCAGCTGAGGAAGGAAAAAGGGGTGAGAGAGTAGAGATATTTAAAAGTTTGCATGAGCAGGGAGGAGAGATTGGACAAGGATTAGAGGGGAAACAAACGCAGGGTGAGAATTAGGGCTCAGATAGCCTGAGTCTGGTGCTTATTCTAGGGCTCCCCCGTCACTTTGGTGTGCTAGTAAGAGCACAGTGGTTTGTATGGGGGTCATTGGGAGTGGGTTAGATGTTTGCAAAGGAAAGAAGGCAACTTTTAGAGAACTATATCCCAAACTCTTATGAGTGGTTATTGTGAATAGTACCATCTCTGATATTAAACTGCCTAGGGTGTGGTGTGGCTTTGCCAGTCAGGGATTGTGCAGTCTTGAGCAAGCTACTCAATGTCTTTGTGGCCCAGTCTTCTTATCTATAAGAAGATCGTAGCAGTGCACACCTCATAAGGTGGGTGTGAAATCCTTACTGGCACAGAGTAAACTCCCAGAAAATAGTATTATTATTTCTGTTACTTTCTCTGGATGGGAGAGTAATACAATTACAAATGTTTATTCTAAAATTATATATTCATGTATTTTTGTTTGTACTATTCATTTGTTTTATAACCACAAACCCCCCAAATTTATAAAGGTGAAAACATTTTGCAGGTACAATTTAAGTTGTCAAGTGCTCTGCAATCCCTATGTTATCCAGCAGGGAGAGCTATTTAACTGTCTACTTTCTACCATAATCCATCATTTCAGGAATGTGGCTAGGATGAATAATCACACCGTCTAAGATAACTTAATGATTTACAGTTGGTATTCATATGTCTAGAATTCGCTTCTTAAAAGCATAAAAAGGCCCCTTCCCAACCTTATTAAAGCGAGAAACCTATGTGAAAAGTATCGTCATCATCATCAACCCTTGTATTGTGACTTACTATGTGCAGGCATTATCCTGAACAGGTTACATACATTAGTTTTTTTAATACTTCAACATTATGGGTGAACACTACCCATTTTACAGATGAGGAAATTGAGGTGCAAAGCAATGAAGTGGACCAGTGTTACACAGCTTGTATGAGAAATGATCTGAACCTGAGCCCCCTGTGAGTCATGTGTCAGGTACATTGTTGTTGGAACCTAACCACAGTATGTTTAATCTGTTCCAGAAATTCTAAAGAAATACTATTCTTCCTTTCACTTCAGCATTAATGAGCTCTTTCCCTCAAGTCCACTAAAATAACAAAAAGAAGTTATATCTAGTCCAAATTTATTCAGAGATATTAAGATACCAATGAAACTCTTTTTGTCTGAAACTACTTTTCTCATAATCAGTACTCTGTTTTGTAAGAATATGATTTTTCTCATAACTATGTTATACACAGCTAATTAAACAAATATTTTCATTATTTTTGAAAACCCGAAGAGCACATTTTCCTGACACAATCTCCACTGTAGGCAGTTAACTCTTGCCAAAATACCCCTTGTGCTGTTCTTTGAAAGTAAAATATTTGTCTCTAATGAAAATATGTAAACTTGGTTTGCATAAATGAAGGCTGGGGAAATTATTTCATGTGATTTCAGGTACTTTCTCAGTACTCTTTTTCATTTGTCCTCAAAAATTACCAGAGAACTGAGTTAGACAAAAGAGTCTTGTTTCTATTGAGAACACCAAATTGAAATACAGAGCACTACATCTTAAACCCGTATTTCTCATTTCTTTTAGATGAAATTAATAGAAAAAGTAAGGGATTCAGAAGACGTCTTTGCAAGTACAAGGTAAGATGTGACCTTCATGGGATCTTCATGATTTGCCCAAGGCCACAGAGGTGCCTGACACTGAGAACTGGTTTCTTCTTTGTGCCACGCCCAGCTGCCCCCCCTCCCCCCACACCCTGCCACACCTGAGGAGTCATGTGGCGACAGGAGCAGGGTTAGGACACTGGAGGTGGCATTTTAGGTTCTGGATGCATACTGACATATGGTTTTTATTTGGAGAAACTTCAATAGTAAATGAAAAGAGTAGACAGAATGGGGTTTAAGTAGGTAGAGATTTGCGATAGGGAGGGGACCGAGGCAGGCGGGAGGTGGTGTCTGGGGAAGACAGATGAAACGTTTCCGAAACTGAAGCGAGCATTTGTTAAATTCAGAGTGTTCACGCATCAAATGTCAGTTGGGCAGGAGCCAGACACAGTGTGGACACCAGGGCTATACAACAAAGCATGGCCTCTGTTGTCAGATTGCTGGCAACCCAGGGGGAAAGGCGGACATGTAAACAGATAAGAGGACGAAGAGGAGCCCTGTACAAGGTACAAAGGTGGAGCCGAGAGGAAATGCCCACGTCCTCCTGGGAGGGTTGGGGGCCTGCTCCCGGTTTGCCAACACGCACTCCCACGGAGGGCAGCGTCGACCCACAGGTGCAGTTGAACACGCAGCTCAAGCTGCCTGAAACTGAAGTCCGGTGTTGTTGGCACTCAGGCCATGATCCGGCACCAGGAGTTCAATATTTAGCTGTGTTGCACGTTGAAGCAGTGAGCAGGAAGCCGTTTTCAGGGAGAGGACCCCAGGAGAGGGAATAGGCCGCGAGGAAGCGGTCCGGGCCCCTGGGCCGGGCGCCTGCAGCCGGCCGGCAGGAAGGCTCGCCCACCGCCGCTGTAACCGGAGCCGGCCCCGCCCCGCGCCCGGCCGGCCCGGCAGGTCGGGGCGGCGCGCTCTGAGTCACCGCCGTCTAGGTGGGGCCCCCGCCGCGCCCCTGCCGCCTCTTCTCTTTTGTCGCGCTGCCGGCGCTCGCGGGCCACTCTCCGCCGGCGACCGAGCCCCGCGCGCTCCTCTCCTCCGCCGCCCCGTCGAGATGCTGCGCTGCGGCCTGGCCTGCGAGCGCTGCAGGTGGATCCTGCCCCTGCTCCTGCTCAGCGCCATCGCCTTCGACATCATCGCGCTGGCCGGCCGCGGCTGGCTGCAGTCGAGCGACCACACGCAGACGTCCTCGCTGTGGTGGCGATGCTTCCACGAGGGCGGCGGCAGCGGGTCCGAGGCGGATGGCTGCCAGAGCCTCATGGAATACGGTGAGTGCCGCCGGCCGCCGCCTCCGGGAAGTCCTCCGGATCGCGGCCGGGCGTGCGCCGGCGCAGTGGGAGTGCGCGGCCCTGTGCGGAGGACTGAACCAGGGTCAGGGACAATGGGCGATTTTTAAAAAATGTTCCGTTTAGCTTCATGCATCTGATCTGAACCAAACAAAGCAGTAGCAGCTTTGAGTAGCACCAATCAGGCTCAACACTGGAAGAAACGACCCTAGTTCATTTAAAGCAATGTTTTTTCGTAGGGTTTGTCGGTTCCGTGCAAAAGATGATTTCAGCCATTTGAAAAAGTTTGATGAGTAAATATAATGAGCAAAGTATGTATTTTTGGGAGACTTACTGAAATCTCTTCCCATTCCACCTCCTCCTATGGTTCTTATTAAAATATAAGTATGTTAAATACAGGCCTTCCCTAATGTTGGTGTAAAAGCTCCGTGAAAATGTCAGCAGTTATGATTTCAGTCGATACTGTACTATTGAATGCTTTAGGCTAGTTCTTATTAGTTTTTGTCTTGTGGTGGGGGAGTCTTTTTGGTTTAAGCAGGGCCTTGATGTTTAGAAAACTTTATTTGAATGTGATTTAAAATCGAAAAAGAAGGCACATCTTCCACACCAGTGAAATGAAGCAGAGCTAACAAATATAATATGTTGAAGATGGAGTATTTTATTTTTCCAGCGTGGAGGAAGCCTCTGCTTAATTTGTTGATAGACCAAACAGGAGAGGAGCGGGGGTTTGTCTGATGCTACCCCCTGAGAACTGGTAGATGTGAAGAACAGCTGGGTTTATGTGTGAACATAATCAGAAGCTTAAAGTCAAATATTACCAACTGAGTTTAGTTGTTTTACACAGAGAAAGAGAGGGGTTACCCTGCCTTTTTTTTATTTCCTTCTGGAACCAGTGGCCCTGCCACCCCCAAGTGTCCCAGAACTTCCAACCAAACTGTTTATTTCTGGGGCCTTCTGTCAGGGGGTTGCTGCTGATTCTTATGGATTGTGAAATAGTTTGCAAAGTCCCACAGTTGAACTTTCCTCCAGAAGGAGGCATGGTCCTCATCAGCAGGTCATAAAAGGTAAAGACTGAACGGAATTCCCACTTTCCTTGTTTTTCCTTTCTTAAAACACAAACAGTATGCCTGCCAGGGTTTACATCGTTGAAAGTCTCTTAGGTTTTTAAAGAGAATTAATTTCTTTGAAATAATACATCTGTATCTTAAAATGCATTCGAATTCATTGTTTTGTTAATCCTCACCAGAGTATAGTTTTCAATTGACTTTTAGATTGAATGGAAGGCAGGCAGAGAGAAACATTGATGTGAGAGAGATACATCAATTGTTGCCTTCTGCCTGAGCCTGACCAGGGTCAGGGATTGACCCTTTGGTCCGTGGGCCGATGTTTTTACCACTGAGCCAAACTAGCCAGGGCAAATAGGAGTGGTTTTAAATAGACTATGATAATCACTCCTGACTCCAAAGGCTAATATAGGCCCCAAGAATACTCAGCAATACTTCACATATGCAATAGAAGTTGGTGCCCTGTAGGGAGTGGGGTGCTGGCAGAACCCCCTCAGCACTTGCTGGGACGTGACCAGGCCTGCAAGGCTCTGCTGTGATCATAGCCCTCTTGCGAAACACGCACAGTGCGGTTTTTCTTTTTCTTTTAAATTGAATTGTACACTTTATTTTTTTATTGAATCGGGATGACATTGGTTAATAAAATAATATAGGTTTCAGGTGTACAATTCTATAATACATCATCTGTTTATTGCATTGTGTGTTCACCCCAAGTCAGGTCTCCTTCCTATTTTTCTTAACTTGCGGGAACAGCTCACCTTCCAAGGGTGTGGCTCTTTCAACATCAGATTGACGCACTGCTTTGTATTTGGAAGGGAGTAAGCAAATTTTGCTTCTCAATTTGTTTAATATTTTTAATTAGACAGAAGTCTAAAGCATTAACACTTGATTGTAAAGAAAACAGTGATCCAGTGTATATAGATCAGTTTAATAGACAAACTCGTCTTTGGAAAGTTCAGTTTTCCAAGTGAGTCTTAACTTTATGATGCAGCCAGACCGATTTTTCTAAAATGAGTGGTGGCTTTCACACCCCATTTTAGTTATTTCTGTGACCTTTGCAAAAATAATTAAGTGCCAATAATGTGTTAGACATGACTTCAGTCCAAGACCTAGAATGAAATCATGAAGGCAGGATCCACTGTCATTAGGTGTCTACGGGAAGGAGAAAATAGATATGAATTCCCCAGGAGAGGTCTGTTTCAGGCTGTAACAGTCAAAGATGAGGGGGAATGTTTATTATACTTCTGCCCCACCTCCTGGCATGAGCTGTTAGCTAGTTTTGCTTCACAGGTGTAGCAATTGTATATTCCTACACTGTAGGGCGATGATTTAGGCATCTGTGAACCCTGGAGATTTTCAGATAGCCTCAATCAGGCCTTGCTGAAAACAATATGTTACAGTACTTTATCTAAAATGTAGTAAGCAGTTTACACACGCTCTCGCACATGTGTAAACACAACAAGGACAAAGGTTGATGGCTCTCATTAAAATGATATCTCAATATAAAGAATGGGTACGTCCACTTTTTTAAAAAACTTGATATGTACTAGGAAGTAAACATTGTGATTTACCACTGTAACTAATAAATCTACCTTTTTATTACAAGTGCTTGACCATCTCTTTTACTGATACTTATAATATTTATTTTTTAACTTTTGTGTGTTGATTTGAGAGAGAGGGAGAAACATTGTTGTTCCACTTATTTATGCCTTCATTGGTTGCTTCTAGTATGTGCCCTTGACCAGGGATCAAACCTGCAACCTTGGTGTATCCAGATGATGCTTTAACCAACTGAGCTACTCAGCCAAGGCCATAATTTTAACACATTAATTTTGGTATTACAGACACAGGTCATTCCTGGCAAGTATTGGCATTAATACTAGATAATACAGCCCTGGCCAGTTTGGCTCAGCAGTTGGAACGTCAGCCTGCGGACCAAAGAGTTGAGGGTTTGATTCCAGTCAAAGGCAAGAACCTCGGCTGTGGTTTGGTCCCTGGCCCTGGTCAGGGTCCTGTGGGAGGCAACCAATCCATGTGTTTTTCTCACATTGATGTTTTCCTCTCTCTCTCCCTTCCTCCCTCCCACTCTATCTGAAGATGAATGGAAAACTATCCTCGGGTGAGGATTTAAAAAACAAAAACAAAAACTAAATAAAGGTAAATAATAGTTCCTTAATATTATATAAAAAGCAGAATATTACACTTCACCGTTGTTAAGTTTTTTAGAATTTTTGAATGACCATATCACCTCATTTTTCCTATAAATGAACCAAATTACATGCCAAGTATGTTCTTTTCATGATAGCAACAATTAAATAAGTACCTAGCTTTACAGATACTTGTTTGAATTTTTTAAAAACCATGGTTTATATTTCTCAAAACAGGAAAAGAAAATCTAGATTTAAACATTGAAATGATCATTCAAATTTCATGTATAAATAAATAAAAGGCAAACTTATATTTGAATGCATGTTCACACATGCTATTTTTGCACTACCGGAACCTTCTTTTCGGTTTTGAGAAAAACAAAACAAAACAAAACTTCAGGAGGATGTTTTAAGCCTCAGTGATGTAGATTTCAAATCCCAAGCCAGCTCCAGCTTGTCAGGGTGGAGAATAGTGGACATGAGTTTGCACCAAGAATGAAAGTGGGGCGTCAGTGTTGAAGAGCGTGTGCTTTGGATGAGGACCTTGTTCTTACCAAAGACACCCTTTGATACCACAGAATTCACTGAATGTTTTTTTTTTTTCTTTTTTACGTGACACCATTCTTGGATAAGTAAAAAAATCAGTGTTATATGAAATATTTTTAGATCATTTAGCCCTATGGAAATGAGAAAAATAAGTATGAAGTTAATTGGTTTGCATTAGGCTAAATTCAATTTAAAGGACTTCATTTTGAGATGATGCTCTTGGGGCTATTGGAGGGGGCAGGATGAGGTGTTACAATGTTCTTATTTTATGAAATTGGGCATTAGTACATAGATTACTATTTGCGGGCATGTATTCACATCCTTACGTGGCAAAAAATAGTTGACCACTCTTAATTGATTTTGCTAGTTTAAAAAATATAGAGAGAGGTTTATAAACTCTAGAATTGACCTAGCCCGGTGCGCCCACACTCGCTGCACATAGCTTTAACCACCCGAGAGCCTCGGTCCCTTGTTAGTGCCCTGACTTGTCTTCTCCCTGGAAACAGATACAGACCCCAGACAATTAGAATTAGCAGGGACAGTCCACCACTCAGGTGCTCTCAACACCACCCACGACTGACCCGAGCTTCTTCCCTGGTTCGGTCACCTAATTCAATCCTCTTGACGATGCTGTTTGTTTAAAAGCACTTCTCTTATTCCCTCTTCTACCAAGGGAGCTGAAATGTGCTTCCCTGTAAATTCTACTTTGCAGCCTTCCTCTCTCTGACAGACTTGTACATATTTAAGGGCAGACCCTACGTGCGCTGCTATTTATCTTGTGCGAACTCAGGGTACAAGTCCCTGTTTCCACAGATGTAGGAGGGTTTCACCACTCAGACTTTAAAAGACCATGAAGGGGTCAAGTATCACAGTTCTGTCAAAACACAATGGTAAACAGTTATCAGCTGGCTGGGCTTCTGGAGAAAATGCAGAGCACGTCAGGAATGTCACACCAACGGCAGAGCTCTCCTGGATGGCCCTGTCCTCCTTTACAGCCATTCCTTCTGCCTTCCAGAAATTCTGCAGAATTGCTTCCTCCTATGCAGACTTTTCCAGGAGGCCTGTTAGGCATTGCCCTGGAGATGTCTGTTACTCAAAGTGTCGCAGAGCGGCAGAGCGGCAGTCTGGGAGATTATGGGACACTAAGTGTTGCAGGCCCCACCTACTGAATTGGAATCTGTACTTTAACAAGATCCCCGGGTGATTCGAAAACTCTTTGAAGTTTTAGGAGTGCTGGCCTATATTCCTGCAGATTACTTCCTCATTGAACATGCAACAGTCTTTTTGAATATATCATCCATTCATGGTTATATTTATTTGTAGATAGGATCTTTTTTGTTTTTTTAATTTTGATTTTATCCAGTTTGTAGTTCTGCCCATATATCATATAGAGAATCCTACAGAAACAATAGGAAGAGATCTGACAAAATCTCAGATTCACTAGGTGGGCCCTTTGGTATTATTAATAGATGAATCAATAAAATTTTAGTATTTTTTCTTTTCACAGATTTCAGTTTGATTTAGGGTTTCTAGCTTGACATTCAGGGTATTTACTTTTACCTTGTTTGCTCTTTTCTTACTGGTTGACCTTACCGATCTTTTCTTAGCCACATTTGCGTTGTAGCATTGTGTTTTTGTATGTAATTTCTGGGAAAAGATATAGCATTCATTTTTATGCAAAAACTTAAAAACATTTCCTAGGAAAAGTCCAGAATTTCTTTAGTGACCATAGGATAGTTTCCATGTTGTTGAGTTAATGTTGAATCTGTGCAAGCCAGATTGCAAAAATTTTTGATAAACCAATTTTCATCTAAATGGGTATTTAATGAATCGTATTTAAAAGTGGATTTATAATGCTGCTGGTTTCTTTGATAACATGAACTTCTCCAAGTGGTATTTATAAAACAAACTTACCACATAATAGATTATGTATATAAGGCACCAAATTTATCTTCACTGAAGGATATAAAACAAACAAACAAAAAGCTTTCCTGTGGGGGAAACTGTGTACCCAGAATCTGTATACTTTTGTGGCCTCAATTCAGAGAATGTTAATTGACAAAGAGAGTCCTGCCTACTTCCCTACACACACACACACACACACACACACACACACACACTTAGGAAAGGCAAAATTTGAAGTGCATAAAATAATAATGATGGACGTACTTGTCTTCAGAACAGATCAGGATGGACAGTCTGCCTTTGAAGAATTGAGAGCCATCTGTTGAATCAGAGAAGAAGTTGTTTTAGGACAAGTTTTAAAAGTTGACATTTTCCATCAGGGTTCGTAAATATGGTACAGTGTAGACCATGATACAATAAAAAAAAAAAAAGAAATAGTTCCCGAAAGAGTTGGGTGAATTTGTAGATATGAAGCTCATTCTGGGTAATTAAGTGAGACCATGGGTACTTAGGGTACAGACTTAACTTTTTGAAATGTATGTCATGAAGAATTGCCATGTCCTAAGTCTGCACGGCTGTTGGTCCCCTTCTCAGACACAATGTTGGCCTGGGAGGAACCCACTCAGACCTGGTAGAGTCCAGCTCATCATTTTACAACAAAATAGTCATTGCCATGAGAAGGCAGTTTGCCTCACCTGTCACTCATCAGTCAGAATAGAATCTTCAAAACCATGCCAAGATGTGTGTCTTAAATGATACTTAAAGAGTTGGTGTGGGTGTTTTCATGCTGTAGGAGCAGGTTTTACAGGTCTACTTCCAAGGCAGCCTTTGTCAAGACAAAATGCCCTGGATTTTCCATTTTGATGATTCAGTATTGTAAATAAGCAAGACATTAACTGGGTTGATTTAACATAGCATAGGAAAAGTTGTAAAAATGGTCTGTTTATATTTATGTTCACAGATTACGTGTGGATTCCTGGGCAGCAGCCCTTGAGCTCTGATTCAGTGGGTCTGGAGGGAGGCACAGGAGTCTGTGTTTCTAATAAGCTCCACGGATGGTTTTGACTCAGAGGTGTATGGGCTAGACTTTGAGATGACCCAATTCATCGACGTTCTTTTCAAAGCATGTTTCCTCTTCCACTGGAAGTTTCCTTGCTGGAAAGACAGGGCAAAAGTGAGAATAGAGACTCGATGTCATAGTTTGACTTTATTCATTTCAATTTTAAAAGAAAACGTTGCTATTTTACCTCGCCCCTAAATTCTTGTATTGATCTCACAGGAAGAGGAAGAAAATTTGGAGGGAAGTAATAAAAAGCACAAATATAAAACTAGACCCACACATGTATATCTCAGCCACATCCAGACCACTGCCACTGGGGTAGTTTGGTAAAAACATGGTATTTGAGCATATAACGTCTTCTGCTTTGTTACCTGTCATGTCCCAGTCATTCACGAATCCAGAGGAAGATCTGGCGGGAATGGAGGGCTGCTCAGGGGAACAGGGGAACTTAGCCTGGGTTTGTCTATCACAGATGTAGATGCCAATGTGCAGTGGGTAACAAGGAATAACCTTTATGTGATGATGAAGAACCTTGCAAATGTAGAATAAAATGGGAACTTGAGTTACTAGAGAAAAAACATAGGAATACAGGAAGAACTATTTGAGCCTCGCAGGTTTTCACACGAAAGCTCTCATCCTTACAATAATCTTGAAATAAGGTATGTTAGCCTTGGTCACCAGATGCTGACAGTGGCTTATAGGAAGCAGAGGCAGGGTGTAAATGAGGCCCAGCTCTGCCTCCAAAGCCCTTGCCCTTCCTGATATCACAAATCTTTAACTTTGACCAGTCAAACGACCTAGAATTAAGGGAAGATACATTTGTCAGTCGAGCTGTCTTGCAGATGGAGTAAAATCAGAGCAGAGGTGCACATGTCTCTCCTTTTCAAATGCAGTAAAGTGTATCAGGTGCATTTGGAGTGCGTGCCCATCCATTAATGAATGAATGGATAAACAACCTGTGGGATAGCCATACAACGGAATCTATTTTGGCTATAAAAAGGAATGAAGTACTGATGCGTGCTACAACATAGGTGCACCTCAAATACATTATGCTAAATGAAAGAAGATGGTCCAAAAAGCCACAGAGTGTATGATTCCATGTATATGAAATGTCCAGAACGGGCAAATTTATAGAGACAGGAAGTAGATGAGTGGTTGCCAGAAGCCGAGGAAGAGGGGAGTGGAAGGACATGGGGTTCCTTCTTGGGGTGATAAAAATGTTGAAATTGTAAGTGGTGATGGTTGAACAACCCTGTGAATATAGAAACTCCTGAACTGTATATTCGAGAAGGGTGAATTTTATGGTATGTAAATTATATCTTAAATAAAAGTCATGTTTTGGATTCAGGCAGACCTTAAATCAAACTCTGCCTAAATCACTTACTAGCTGTGTGGCTATGGCAGGCTATTTGAACCCTCAGAGCCTTATTATGTAGCCTTATTTCTAAAGAAACGATATTAGTATGAACCTTAAAAAGTTATTGTGAGGATTCAGTGAGCTAAATATGTCAAGTTCCTCATTGTTTTCTCTAGAGAGAAGGCTGTGTGTGAAGAAATCTTAACCAGAGCAGGTTGAACACTAAATTATTGGCTGGAATCACTAGCCCAGGTTCATGGCTCTGTTCGCTCAGGTTTAGCATCACCCAGGACTGGAGTTGCCCCTGCAAGTTTTCAAACTTAGAGCTCCATTTTAGGGCCAACATAGATCATTTAAGAACTCTTATGACATAAATTCTGAATATTCCAGAAGTTAAAATTTAGGCAAAAATCTAGAAAGACTATGCTTACCCATGTTATTTTTTTTTTAAATCACAATTACTTTACAATTAAATTTTATTCATTCACATCTCTGCCTGGTCGTACATTTATGTTTTCAAAGATTATTTTTGCATGGAACCAAATATTGACACAAAACAAAGATCCTTTTAGAGGTGTTGGAGACATTTCCTTAAGAGATTGTAATTTAAATTGTTCAGTACCAAAAATGCTGTTTATTATGGTCGTGTTATATTAGAACTTGAGTAAACCTTTTAAATAACAGTGTACATGGCCAATGTATTAAACAAGAAACAGTTTAATGAAGTTTAACTTTCATCTCAGAGGTAAAAACATTTGTCCTCAAACCAAGAGGACAAGGCATTAATGCATAACAGTGTATTAGTGTCCTACATATGAACTGCCTCATTTCCCCCTGAAATATGGAGATGCTTGAGTATTGTCCAGAGAAAAACTGTTCTTCCACCAAAATATAATTAGTAGAAAGAAAAAACACTCCTATCAATACTTTGATAAGTGACTTTTGAATTTGCACCTTCGTCTTATTGATCGCTGTTTCCTTTCTCTCGCAGCATGGGGAAGGGCAGCCGCCGCCACGCTCTTCTGTGGCTTCATCATCCTGGTCATCTGTTTCATCCTGTCCTTCTTTGCCCTCTGTGGACCCCAAATGCTCGTCTTCCTGAGAGTGATCGGAGGCCTCCTAGCCCTGGCTGGTAAGGCTGTGTGTCAGCAATTCTTCATTCCTGCCTTCCCTGGACATCAGTGTAGGAGTGTGCGGTCCGCAAAGAAGATCCCTGACCATCACAGTCCCTGATCTGTTCTCAGAAAATGTATCCCCAAGGGCAGGAGTCACAGAGGAGAGATGTGTTTTAAGATATAGGTCCCCTTTCCTCCCATGTCTCAGCTGGTACTCTGTGCTCCCCTCCCAAGTGAGGAAGGCTGTCATTCTGTATACCACCTCTTGTAGGTGACCCCAGGTCCAGTGACACACCTGCCCCAGGGGATCGGGGCTGAGTCAGCCCTGGAAGAGCAGTGTCTCCACAGTGGGCCCAGAGTGGCCCCCTGAGCTCCATGCTGAGGGGCGGGAAGGTCCCTGGGCCACTTTACTTACTGAAGGAGTTTTATGATGTGGAGGGTCATGAAGGGGTTTTCCGCAGTGGGATGGGGGACCCGAAGAGCTCAGCTCTGGAATTGCCGGGGAACCAGAAATTCAGTTACGCAGGTGTATGGGGCTCAGAGTAAACATTTATGAATGGAATACAAGAACTAGGACTCCAGGAGCAAGAATAAGTTGAAGTTTTAGGAAGGCACCTGGCCCTAGGGAAGTCTGTCAGAGGGGCAGGACCCCAGCCACAGAGCTGGATTTGGATGTAAAACTGGAATCCTGAGGAGGGAAAAGGAGGGGGAGCTGATAAGGGCAACGTGAGGTGACAGGGCATTTCTCAAAATAACTTGGGCTCACGGGAGCAAAGCAGAAGTCCAGCCACAGGCCTGGAGTGCAAACGCGAAGTGAGCAGAGGCCTTGGCCACAGGCCCACGAGCTCTAGCGTGAGCCCGGAGGGAGACCACTTTGTGCTGGGTTCCCTGAAGGGCCTCGGGCAGGACAAATGAGGGACTAAAAGGCTTTGGCTGAGAGGAAGAGGGTGGCCTCAGAGAACCTGCCCAGGCAGGCCCTGTCTCACCTGTGCATTTAAAAATGCCTCTTGAGCCTGGCCGGTGTGGCTCAGTGGACTGAGCGGTGCCCCGTGGACTGAGAGGTCTCGGTTCAGTTCCTGGTCAGGGCACATGCCTGAATTTTGTGCTCAGTCCCCAGATAATAAATATCATATGGCTCAGCAATTCCACTTCTGGTACAGCTGACCCCTCTTTATGATGAGTAATGTTACTGAGCAAAAATCTGCTCATACCCTGGACATGGCAATGTACATATGAAATGTTAAATAAAAATAATGCAGAACATAGCACAGCATGGATATGCTCATTATAGCTTTACAGAAGTATGCATGTTCACTTAAAAAGATTATAAAAGGAGATTAAGTTTATTTTTAAGTTGCTTAAAATGTTAATATGATTAAAATAATTTCAATATTGTGACTCTTATACCTAAAAGGTTAGAAATCCTGACACATATTTTCTTTATTTCCTCTCTCACACTTCCCCAAAGTCCCTCTTTCATTTCTATTCCCTGAGCCTGGACTGCTCTTCACCCTACCCTCTGTGTCTCCATTTCGGTTTATTCTTCAGATTCTCACTTCCTTTTCTGGTGATTCCCCACATTGATCGTTTGCATCATTGGTTCGTCATTTCATTTAGGCATTCATCTATTGAATGACTGTTCCACTGGTCTACTTTGAATGGAGTGATGTGTGTGTGCGTGCACGTGTGTACATATATATATTATTTTTGCTAACACTGAAAATATTAATTCATGTGTTTGGAATAGGAAATACAAAGATGAAAAAGTAAACTCTTCATTACCATCCTGTTTATTATACACCACAGTTTTGGCTTTTTACTTCAGTATATACAATACCTGTACGTGGACTGTATAGTGATTCTCTAGTTGTCTTCTGTCCCTATTTCTTATATTCAGTATTCTGCTCAATGCCAGGTATGTCAGACACACACACACACACACTATATATATATATTTTTAATCCTCACTGAGGATATTTTTCTATTTATCATCAGATAGAGTGAGAGGGAGGGAGAGAGAAAAACATCAGTGTGAGAGAGACACAACAACTGGTTGCCTCCCACATGACCTGACCAGGGCCACGTCGAACCACAACCAAGGTAGGAGCCTTTGACCAGAATCAAACCCATGACTCATTGGTCGCAGGTTGATGCTCTAACTACTGAGCCAAACCAGCCAGGGTGACACACAAGTCTTTAATAATCTTTTTTGGCTCTTGATTAACTAGATGCCCCAGCCCCTTTCATTAGCATTGTTTAGGTGGATTAAACACTTATTTAAAGGCAAAATCGCTGGGAGAGAGTGTTGATCTATTGTTCCTATTCATTCATTCGTGCATGCATTCATACTTTGGGATTTTTTTTTTTCTTTCCTTTAGCTGTGTTCCAGATCATCTCCCTGGTCATTTACCCCGTGAGGTACACCCAGACCTTCACCCTTCACCTCAACCCTGCTGTCAATTACATCTATAACTGGGCCTACGGCTTTGGGTGGGCGGCCACGATTATCCTGATCGGCTGTTCCTTCTTCTTCTGTTGCCTCCCCAACTACGAAGACGACCTCCTGGGCAATGCCAAGCCCAGGTACTTCTACACATCCGCCTAAGGTGGGGATGGAAGCCTGCTCCCGTGATAGATTGCAGAAGAAGAAACTGTTTTCCCCAGAAGACTTTGAACCTGTTGGGGGCATATTGTTTGTATCATTAGACTAGACAACATGCTAAAATAATTGGGAAGAAAATATTTCTTATATGGTGTTATAGTTTCATATTCATCTTTTATATATGTTTTATAGGGTTAAAGAAAACTTACTTTTTTTAACTAATTACCTATAATATGCCAATATTTTCTTAATATTTGTCCATACAATTTATACTGCATTTATAAAAGAATGTTAATATGAAACTTAGCATTTTATAAGGTCGAAATGAGAAGGCTTTAAAGATTTAAGTAATCTGATCAAGTGTCTGTTTTCCCCAGATTAAATGGACTGGGTCTATTAAGGGAAAAAGAGAAGAGGGAAATATTGGTATAAATTGTCAGTGACCAAATATTCTAAAAGAAATGTAAAAAATAAATATTTTTCCAGACTTCAGCTACTTAAAGAACCAAAAACGTTTTCCAAACACGTCATTTGTGAGAATTTCTAATTAATATCCCAAGTAATTAATTTTTTGCAAAGCATCACGTTAGCTTGATACGTCATTTAGGAAAGTATTCTTTCATGGCCAAAACCTGTTGCAGTAGTGAGGTCTTCTTATGCAGGGAAATGCTAAGATGAAATTTTCTCTTTAAAAGTGGTTTGCAGGGTTGGGGTGTGGGAAAATGATATATTAATCTGTACTGTCTTGTGTCTATATGTTCAGGACCAGAGTAGATTGTGTTGAAAGACGGATAGGGTCTAACTCCTCGTGACTGATGGAGATGATTCGGTCGTACAGTAAAGCATTTGGAAGGCCATTCCTATCACAAAAGTAATACTAAAAACAACCTTAGGAGAAGAAATGGCTTGAATTTTTCATCTCAGTCGAGCAGGCTCTACTCATATAGACACAGCTTCTGATAGATTTCAACTTTAAGGCACAACTTAACTATAGTTAAAAACCTGGTTTTCCTTGGTAAACCGATTTAAACTATCTGGTATAAAACATGCAACAAGAGAATTCAGGGATGTGAATTCTCTGAGTGGGAAATATGATATATCAAATGGATTATTATTTTTTTTTACCATTTGTACTTACATAATGAAAACCAATTCATTTGATATATCAAAGTATTATTTTGTAAGTTGCAGAATAAGCAATTGTAGTTTTTATTATGAATTTTCCCTAATAAACCAGATATGCTAATCTTGTTTCTAGTTTGCAGTTTTTTGACCTTTTTAAAAATTTCAAATCTGGGAAAAGGAATTAAAAAAATGCTTTGAGTTGGGGTAGTAAGAATATTGGATAAAATGAGAAGTTGATTCTTCCTTGAGATGAGATCTTCATTCAGGTGGTGGGACAGCAAGCATTCTCTCTCCTTCTTTGCCCCTGTCCACCTTTCCGTTTGATAGTTTATTCTGCACCTTGGGTCTTACGTTAATTCTGCCATGGTTCGTATAAAGTGCAGAAAGGTCGCAAGGTGGCATGGTGGGGGAATGGAGACATTTCTTCCTAGTGCCATCAGCCATTTGGTCCTTGGCAGCGAACATTTCTTCTATGCTTCTCAAAATATCAGGTGAATGTTTCTCATCGTGAATTTCGAAGAATGTGATCTGGGTTATTTATACCAATTTTTAAAAAATTCTGTGACTGCTAGAGGGTTTGAAGTGGTAACCAACAGTATTAAAAATGTCATCTTCTAAAACAGCGGTTCCCAACCTGTGGGTTGCGACCCCTTTAGGGGTCAAACAACCCTTTCACAGGGGTCACCTAAGACATAACAGTAGCAAAATTACAGTTATGAAGTAGCAACAAAATAATTTTATGGTTGGGGGTCACCACAACATGAGGAACTATATTAAAGGGTTGTGGCATTAGGAAGATTGAGAACCACTGTTCTAAAATAATAGCATGGCTAATTCAGGAAGATAATGGATATCTAGAGATTAAGAAACTGGGTCTCCTGCTGTACATGAAATGACTCTCAGATACAAGGTTCTCTAAGACATGTGCTCTTGTTTTTTCATTTTTTTCTCCATACAACTTTCTTTTTCCCTCTTCAATAAATAATCCACTATATCCAAATGATGCCCATGTAGGAAAAATGCAACTTCCTTGGACCAACGAGCTGATGTAACACAAGCATTTCAACCTGAAACATTTGGGACAAAGACACTGTCATTACATTAGCTAAAATGTTCTGCTTCTTTCAGCCTTGTTCAAGGGCAGGGTTCCTCCACTCTTTGGTTCACATTCACTAAGACAGATACCTTTGTGCCATAAACAGCAGAAGAATTCCAGAGAATTCTGGAGAGTAATGAAGAAATTGACTGCAAAGCCATCTGAAGACTGGCCATGTGTTGTATGAGATTTCCCATGGTAAAGCTGCGGTGGTTTTTGGCTCTGTAATTATATTAAGAGTCTCCACCCTTTAAATAAGCAGTTCAGGGTTCCCAAGCAATTATCTCACGCTCGCCCTACAAGCAGTCAGATATACTAAGTGCCATTTACTGTTGACTATAACAAAGAAGTAATATGTCAAGAACTTTCCGCTGTCACTCAAGGTAACTACGGAGTGTAATTATTTTTAGCTTCAAAACCATGTACGGCTGGACTGACAATAAAGTTTGATAGGCTTTCCTTTCTTAAGGAAATGAAAACAATGGGAAAACACAGTCATAATAACTTCATTAGGTTGATTTTTGCTACAAACTCCTGCTGGAAGTCAGTTCTGTTAATATAACACACATGAATGCCGAACTGACCCGTTTTGTTTTTCTAGGCGTACCCGAAAGAAGCGGATTCGGGTCTCATCTAACACTGGCTTTTGCTAGCTATGCAGGCTTCGGTAGTTCATGTCCCCACTGGTCTCATAACCTTATCTGTAAAGTCATTGCAAATGATCCTGCCAAATTCTTTCTGTTAGTGTGATTGTATGTGTATATGCTCATTAATTTACTCAAAGAGTCTTGGGGAAAGGAAAAGAGGTAACATGATGCTCTCTGTGTGTTTTTTAAATTGATTTTCATCACGAGAAACAATGACTAAAATCTTCTTCATATTGTCATGACATTTTTTCTTCAATTCAATTCCCCTCTCCAGGCCGCAGGGAAGGTTGTGTCTTCCCAGTGCGTTTGGGGGCGTTGTAAATGGAGTGAGGGTGAAGGCGAAGGGCCCGTGGGGTGAAGGACTCGGCCTGCGTGGGGGCTGGTTCGTCAGAGAGCATGGGGATAAGAAAAGCAGCTGAAGGAAATGGGAAAGAGGAAAAAAAGGGAGGGGTGGTATTTTTAAAATCTATACATATCACTGCATAGTGTTTGAAATCATTTCCCATTGTTTTGAGTTTTTACGATTAGACTATCTTCTTTCAAAATGAAAGAATATTCCTTTAGTTGGGAGAACTAAATAAATGAATGTAGACCCGTATTATGAGCATGAGGAACCCTAAAGCTTAGAAGAAAAACTTCATTTGTATCCAGGGAGCTTCTGATTCAGGTTGGTGGAGTGGACGCTATTAAATAACAGCTTCTGACCAGCATAGAAAAAAGGATGGAATAACAAGCACTGAGGGAATAAATCCACAACTGAAGAGGGATCCATTACTTGACCTGAGATTTTGTCAAATTTCTGGAAGGTGAAAAATAAGTGACAATGTCATAGCACAGTGAAGCCACCACCCAGAAGAAACTCAAGTTGGCTGTTGGGGAAGTAACTCCTATGCTGCTTGGTAAGAGCCAGAGGTGCCAAGCTTGGAGTTGGCAGGACAAAGAGGAGGAATGGGAAGGAGCAAGGTGTAAATCAGGGATCAGAAGTCTGCTCTGGTCTTCCCTTCCTCCACCAGACCCCCTCAAACTGACAGAGTGGAGCCGCTGGCCTGAGGTGCGCGCCTGCAGACAAAACCCACAGATGATGTGCTTGCTAAATGGTACTCTCCTTTCTCAATGCTTCACCTTTCCTGATTCACAGGAACTTCACTTACACCCTCTGGTATAGATTGAATTGCTCAGAGAAGAAATGGATGCATAGGAATGTGAGGTCACTTTCTCAAGGTCACGCAGCTAGTAAATAACAGTGAGAGTAGAAATAAAGTACAATGTATTTTTGGTGCAGGAAAGCGCAGTGCTATAGGTATTATTCCCGAGTATTCTCAGGCGTTCCCTCTGAATGAGCTGGGCCCCTCAACCTCTTTCCCCCTCTCCACGCCGCAGGGAAAGTTGTGTCTTCCCAGTGCGTTTGGGGGCGTTGTAAATGGAGTGAGGGTGAAGGCGAAGGGCCCGTGGGGTGAAGGACTCGGCCTGCGTGGGGGCTGGTTCGTCAGAGAGCATGGGAATAAGAAAAGCAGCTGAAGGAAATGGGAAAGAGGAAAAAAAGGGACGGGTGGTATTTTTTAAATCTATACATATCACTGCATAGTGTTTGAAATCATTTCCCATTGTTTTGAGTTTTTAAGATTAGACTATCTTTTTTTGGAGTAATTTTCTGTGATTGGACCATGTGAATAATTGCTTCATAAGCATCACAGGTAGGAGCCATTTTTCAAATCCTCCCAGGAGTGTGGTGGAAATGAGAAGGTCTGGTATTGATTTGGTGACCTGATGGAGAGGCCCTCATAAATAAGCACCCAGTAGCACCCTTTCTGAAGCCCTCATCTTTAGTCTTCTAAAATGCTCTGCTGTTCATACTACAGATTACCGGTCCTGACCGAAGTAGAATTCTTTTTTAGACATTAGAATCATACTGTATAGAATTTTGTGTTTATTGCTGTTTAAAAGATATTTTGAAATATGTATTACGGAAAAAAAAAACCATGGCAAATATGATATTCCATAGAACAGAGTACATAGATATAGATACATCATATCTCATCCTTGTGGCTTTTGTGATACTACAGAATATTCCTGATCAGAAATGGAGATTCATGGAAGAGAGGCTCCTTTTCACTTTTATGCACCATGTGTGTAGGTCTTTTTTACCCAAATACTCTAAGCAGAGAAAAGTGAATGCATAATCCCCATATTTTATCTTAAATTTTATATATGTAAATGTTTAATTTGAAATACAGCCATGCTTGTTCTAATATAAAAATGTTGAAAAATCACAAGTTAATTATTTTACCCTCCACCGCTACCCTCACAAATCTTCAAATAAAATAGAGCAGATATGAGTGAAGCTTACCTGAACCTGCAACCTAGGTATGTGCCTGACCGGGAATTGAACCCCCAACCTTCTGGTGTTCAGGACGGTGTTCCAACTAACTGAGCCACCCGGCCAGGGCAAGGACATTTTATACAGTTATGCAGCAAGGATGCAGTTGGAAGTCCTGCAATACCTCTACCAGACCAGAGCAGAGTGTAGGGAAGTTGGGGTGACGAGGTTCAATGCCAGTTACCTTTTTTGAGTTCTTTCTTTTCCTTGCTGTTTCTGCAATAGTTATTTTTGCAGTGGAGTTTTAAAAACAGGTCTTTGGGGTCCATGAATTGCTTTATGTTATCTCTGTAGAGTGGTTTCAAGTTTTAAAATTCCTGAAGACAGAAGGGGGTTGGGACCCACCAGTGGATGGTGGGTGGGAGCCCTTTGATTTTGAGATAACTCTCCCCTGAGAACTGCTTGTCTTGTCATGCACACCGTCCTTTGTTCCTGGGTTTTGCAATCTGGCAAGTATCTGGGTGTGGCAGAGGTGAGAATAACACACCTCAGGTGTGGGAAATTAAAAAAGGGTCATATCCTGTCACCGTCATGATGTTCCTCCTGTACTATTCTGTGCTTTGTCGTTCACCTCAACAACGGATTCTCCTCAGCTACAAAAGTAAAGGCAAAAGCAGAAGTGTGTGTGTATTTAAAGACAATTCTCTGGTGAAGAATTGGAACGCTGTTCATTTAAATGGCATAAGATTGTCTTAGTGATAATGAGTCATCAAATAATTATAATAGATGGTTGTATAATGGTTTGCCCAGCCAGTTTTTCCAGTATGAAGATTCACAGTAATTAGCCTGCTATTATCAACTTTTTTTTTTTTTAAATAAGTTACCTTTCTGAGGAAACACTGGATTTGAAAAAGAAACTGTGAATTTAATCACAAAAAGTCAGTTGCCAGGTGGGACTGTGAAGGCAGTTCCATATTCAAGTCCCGTTTCTCTGTTTTACGCTTTCTAATCGGATTCCTCAGTGGATAGTCTTGATTTGAAATGCTTTAGTGCAAATTCATGTTTC